TCCGCCGCCGGGACACCTCACACCGGCGCCCGCAACTTCCCCACAAGGTCACCGTTGCTGCCCCTCGGCGTTCTGCAGCCCCGAGGCCGGGCCTCGGTGGCCTTGTGGGAAATCCGGGCCTGGCCGCAGTCTGTTAGTGATGAATGCAGTTGTCTCTAGAACAAGTGTCCCCATTTGAAGATTTCCCCTCTATTCCCTTTTCTGAGGACAACTTTTTAGTGTTGGATTTCCCCCGCTTTCTGTTTAAGGGACATTACCCAGCAGGTCAAACCGAGGGATAAATCTCCCCACTGGGGACGCAGACGGCAATACAAACTTGACAGGACTCTTCAAGAAGAATGCCGGACAGAATAAAACGTAAACCTTACAGTGGGGGCTACCCCACGCACTGAAAGGGTTAAGTGCTTGTTTTGGTCTAGGGTGTAAAATAATAAAGATATACTCACCCGAATCTCGGACTGACTCCAGCGGTGTAAGGACCCGTGACATCATCATGTCTAATAAAGTTTAGTAGATGTGAGGACACCGAGTGACATACCACTGTCGGAGCGGAGGGGGAAGGGTATGTACAACTTTTTAAATGATACCCTAGACCAGGGGTCAGCAACCTGCGGCTCCGTAGCCGCATGTGGCTCTTTCATCCCTCTGCTGCGGCTCCCTGTCCAGGGGTGGATCTATCACCGGGGCCTCAGGGCCTGAGGTCTGTGCACCCCCCCCGGTGGAATATGCAACAGTGCAGCGTCTACGTTGTGCTCTGCAGGGTCACTCTCAGGTGGGCTCTGCGGGGTCTCAGGTAAGCGCGTTACGAATACGAAGCCCACATATACCTATATACAGTACATGCTATACATAAAAGCATAAAGCATAAAGCTAAAAAACGATATATGCAGTGTTATCTTCATTTTAGATGTCAAAAGGGTTTTGTGGCTCCCGTTGTTTCTTTTTCTGTGGGAAATCGGTCCAAATGGCTCTTTGAGTGTTTAAGGTTGCTGACCCCTGCCCTAGACCAAATCGAGCGCTTAGCCCTTACAGATCGGCGGTAGCCCCACTGCCAGGGTTAAGTTTTATTCTTTTTTAACCCTTCCCCAGTTTACTCAAAACATTTTTTTTTTAAGTCTTAGCTATAAATAAACATAATAACTGGACTGGTGTGACTGGGCTTTCAGTTAGGGTTGCCACCTGTCCAGGATTCACCCGGACAGTCCGGGTTATGAATGCTGTGTCCAGGTTTCATGGCAGCAGAAACTCGGACACAAGATGTCAGGCACACAGGAGAAACCAAAATTAAGATAGGGGCTACTGGCCCCCCACTGAAAATAGTCTCAACTGTGATATTTACATATGAAGGGGTGGCACTATTTACATATGAAAAAGCCAAAACTCATTCTTGCAAGAAAATTTCCGTGTGTCGCTAGAGTGTTCGGGTTTCAATGGAAGAAAAGGTGGCAACCCTACTTTCAGTGAGGCCAGAGGTTCAGCAGAACAGCCAGGCAAGCAGCATTTTTAGAATGAGCTCAACACTACCACAAACCATTTAATAAATATATGACCATTTTATATCTCTTTCTTCAAATATATTTCTCTTTCATCTTAAAACATGTTGGACTGTGGGCAACCTGCCAATAACCACCATGGCTGCAAGCGCGCTGCGGTCACGTAAAGCGTTTTCCCTTACCTGACATGGCGGCGGCAGAGAGTGACGTCAGATGTGCGCTGGCGAGGCTGCCCAACGAGCGGAGTGGGCGGGGCCTGATCACTGGAGTCCCACGTGTGTGTCTGGTGTGGAGATGAAGGGGAAGCGGAGACAGGTGAGACTTGTAGTCACGTTATAGGGAAGCTCAGTCTGATGTGGGGCTCCCTTGTATCCCCTGGTTGTGGGCTGTTTGTGCCCAGGGAGCGGTAGAGAACATGGAGTGTGTGGAAGCCAGAGAGGGACATAATACCTCATAGGTCTTCTGTGGGGGCTCCTGTGTGGACTTCATTGTGAGATTGGGCTTATGTCACATTCAGGGACTATTTACATCAAATCGCTGTGGTAGCATACATGTTAAAGCAACGTATGTTATGTGTTAGCGATTCAGGGTTCCATTAATTTTTAATAGCACCCCACCAACCTAACAGAATTTGCATGCATGCAGTGCAGCCCTGTGTTGTGGTGCCCCATTTTGTTCACAGCCCTGAGGTTGCTAGGGGGGAAGGAAACTGGTTGCTAGGTGCTAAAATGTGCAGAAATGCTTGTGTCACACATTTTCAGTCTATAGGGCCAAGGTTGCGTGAAAAATAAAAAGCTAATGTACATTTTTGTATGACAAGCTGCAACAGCAGCAGCACGTCCTCGTAAATACCTTTGTGGTGACGGCAGCAGCAGGGCCCTGTAAACGTTCATGGTGGCGGCAGCAGCAGGGCCCTGTAAAAATGTATGGTGGCAGCAGTAGCACGGCCCTGTAAACGTTCATGGTGGCGGCAGCAGCAGGGCCCTGTAAAAATTTATGGTGGCAGCAGTAGCACGGCCCTGTAAACGTTTATGGTGGTGGCAGCAGCACGGCCCTGTAAACGCTTGACGGCAGCAGCAGCAGCACAGCCCTGTAAACGTTTATGACGGCGGCAGCAGCACGGCCCTGTAAACGTTTATGACGGCGGCAGCACGGACTGTAAATGTTTATGACGGCAGCAGCACGGCCCTCTAAACGTTTATGACGGCAGCAGCACGGCCCTGTAAACGTTTATGACGGCGGCAGCACGGACTGTAAATGTTTATGACGGCAGCAGCACGGCCCTCTAAACGTTTATGACGGCAGCAGCACGGCCCTGTAAACGTTTATGACGGCAGCAGTCACTTTAATGTTGGCCCCACCAGTTGCTTTCTTGTGCTAGTTTTTCCTTTGCTCCTCCACCGCTCCGTTTACATTCCAACAGTGATAAGACTACATACCATACTTCTAGATATGGGGACCATGTGACTCACTCCTCTTCCTGTCGTGTGATAACTTCAGTGCTTGGTGACTCGGCTCTCAGGCACCCAGCACTGTCCCCTACTGGCTGACAGGATTCAGCCCCTATGAGGAGCAGGTTCACTTTAAGGTTCCTAAATATTCCAGATGGTTACTACCCTGTTTCCCCGAAAATAAGACCTAGTACTATTTTGGGGAATTGCTAAAATATAAGACCTACCCCGAAAATAAGACCTAGTTGTGACCATTCCCAGGCCATTCCTCATCACAAGTGACGAGAGAGCATGGAGCTTCCCGGCCAATCAGGAATCGGAGCATTTGGGCGAGTACGAGTACTCGCCCAAATACTCGGTATCGGCACCGATATCGATACTAGTATCGGTATGGGTGCATCCCTAGTTACTACCAGTTAGTGGAACCTACTTGTTAGTACCTATGGAGAGGGCACTGCAGGTGCTGGCTACTCATGGGGCTGATCTGTTCTTCTCCTATGTAGGTTTGGGCATCAAGGAAGACCTACAGACCACATTGTCAGTGACCAGCTTGGGTCCATAGAAAGGGTTTTGACCTTTAAGCTGATGCACTTTTCTCTTTCTAGAAGGATGAGCCTGCTGCAGGAGAAGTCATGTCTGGGGATGTGGAAGAGTCGGAGAAAGCCTCTGCTCCGAAGCAGCAGGTTAAAAAGGCAACCAAGAGACCATCAAAGGCCAAGAATCCGAAGCCAGCCAAGGTGAAGAAATCCAACCTCAACAAACCGATGACCACAGAGGAGCTGATCAAACTGAAAGAGGCCGAGCAAATGTACCATACCAGCCTCCTGCACATGCAGGTATTTCCACCCATTCCTCCTCCAGTGTTTTTTTTTTACAATCTGTCTTCTTTTGATAGTGGTTTTTAAAAGATCATTTAAATTTCCTTAAATGAAAAAAATAGCTACTTACATCATTGGGTCATCACTGGGTCACTGTGCTCCTATAGGGTATAAGTGAAAGCCACAAACAGGGCACAGAACCTGCTGTTTTGCTAAAACGGCCTGTGAAGCCCACCCACCTGCAGGCACATCATGGCTGGTGGGAGGGTTCTGTACATAGCTTCCTGATAACACAGCACCCTGCCTCAGTATTCCTTTTTAGCCCTGATGCAAGCAGTGGGCTGGCTCTTGGGAGGGAGTAGTTATGCTATTTATCTAAATGCCTTGATGGTGGATGGAAGTCTGGAGGAGTGGGTATTTGCATGCAGACCACCCTAGGTAACGCCCCCATTTGATGCCGAGCCTCCACGATTGAAGAACTGATGATGCATGTATTTCTCCCAGCCAAGAAATGTGGCGGAGCTCTATCTGACTTGCTGCAGCTTCTAATTCACATTGCGAGAAGCTCGCACTGTGCAGTGAAATCAATGGAAGCCATTTCAGTCCAGGAGAGGAGCCGGTGTTCTATCAAAGTTATGTTAGAATGTGTGACCGGCGACGTGGTCACACATTTTAACGTAATCCCGCCCAGTTTTTCGGCGGTGGAATCTGTGACCGGCAATAGGCGAAGCACTCCAACGCTTTCACAGCTGTTCCAGGGCATATCGGAATCGCAGATCGTATGTGCAGGGGAACCGATCTGTCCTGGAACAGCTGATCAGTCCGGAAATTTAACTTCTATCTGACTTTGTGGAATGTGAGATCGTAGTCACAAAGTCGGATAGAAGTGACATTTCCAGACTGATCAGCTGTTCCAGGACAGATCGGAGGTCAGATACGAGACTGAAGGGAAGGCCGGAGGTCAGATACGAGACTGAAGGGAAGGCCGGAGGTCAGATATGAGACTGAAGGGAAGGCCGGAGGTCAGATATGAGACTGAAGGGAAGGCCGGAGGTTAGATATGAGACTGAAGGGAAGGCTGGAGGTCAGATACGAGACTGAAGGGAAGGCCGGGGGTCAGATTTAAAGCCCATCTCTAGCTGGTTGAAGAGGACTCCTCCTTCCTGAAGCCCACCAACACCTGTTTGTCTTTTGTCATTCATGAAATGAATTATCTTGGCGTGTTCGATTCCATAAAACTGTTTGTCCCCCTCAGATTGAGGAACTGCTCCAGGAAGTTAAGCTGAAAGAGAAGCGGAGAAAAACCATTGATGACTTTCTAAAGATAATCAGCAATCGCATCGAGAAAATCCCCGAATCCCCCGAGAGAGATGTAAGTAGTGAGATCGTCTCATGGGGTCATTGCTCTTGAGTGTTCATTCTTATAGCGTTCCTCTGTTCCTGCAGCTGGTGGATCAGACCTGGCTTCCCAAAAAGGTGAAGGTCCCCTTCCTGCAGATCCCCTATCAAGTGAAGGGCAAGTTCCATTTTTGTCCTCCGACCTCCATCAAAGTGGTGGGCAGCTACCTCTTGGGGACGTGCATTAAACCGGAGATCAACGTGGACCTCGCTGTCACCATGCCACAGGTAAGGCGCTGTTTGTGGGCTCCATATATGGCGGATATATATGGAAGAGGATGTTAAAGGAAATAAGAGCGTCTGAGATTTAATAATATTTAATGAGAAAGTTATATTTTCAGAATTTTGGCCTTTCATAAAAAAATGTAAAAATGTGGTGCGGCACTTAATTGAAAACTCTTCTACGGGTTTCTCTTGACCCCTCGGCAAAGTCCTACAAAGATCCTGCCAGTAAAGCCCACCTAATTCTGTGATCTGAGCATTGTCACTCAGCACCTGTCCACCCCCTCACTCAGCACCTGTCCACCCCCTAGCCCCACCTACAGCTTTCTGGATGGATAGCACTGCCTCTGTTGCTGAAACCCTCCCACTGTGTGCTGCAATGCTTGGGATGGGGGAGGCAAAGCTTTTTATATATATATCTATATATATATATA